TGGAGACAAGCACCAATGAATTGTTATCTTACAACAAGCTGCTGAATGAGAAGATGGAGAAGCTCTCTTTGGAGTTGTCCAACGTACCTCCGTCCGAAGTTTCCTCGGAGGACGGTGGTGAATGGCCAGAGGCATATAATACCATAATGAACAATTGTTTTAATCAAGCAAAAGAGTTGGAGCTGCTGCAATCTCAACTTGAGAAAAGTAAAGAGGACTTCCGAATGTTGCTGAATGTCAAGGATGAAATTGAACGTAGCCTCGGAGAAAAGGAACGAGAATACCTGGAACAAATACGGCAATGCGAAGCCGTTACGACTGGTCAGGCTGGCATGATCGATTCCATGGAAATATTGTTGAAAGATCTCGAAGGGAAGATGGATAAATTGATAAACGAGAAAATACAACAGCAGCAGGCTGCTGCCAACGAAAAGAAGAAGAAGACTCATCGTAAACAAAATTCGAGCATAAGTTCAATGAAGTCGCTTCGCCACCAAAACAGCAATAGCGAACTCTCACACTCGAAGAAACAACTGCAACCACAACCACAACTATCGAACGTGAGCGGTAGGATGACACCAAGTAGGCATGGTCATCGACCAAGCATAAGTTCGATATCAATTGCATCGGTTGTCGCCGAACGAGAGCAAGTTCGTCCTGTATCACCGGCTCCTTCAAAGGAGTCTCTTTTAAGCAATCAACCTTCCTCAGATTTTAAGCCTTTGCATTGTCTGTCACCTCCTCATGTAAGTCTAAATGTCATTATCATTAATTGATAAAAGAATATAAATATATATATATATATTTTTTTTTCTTTAATACACATACAATTGACTGATTTCCTCTTGTTCATAGAGCCGTCCAAAGCCAGTCACGAATCCGGCTACATTACTTACCGATGAAGTGAGGATACAATACCAAAATCGATTCAGTAAGTTTATCATGTTCTCCATTTGTTTGTACTTTGTTCGTTTTGTTCACATTTGCTCACAAAAAATTTACGGATTAGGTCTGGCAAAACGATGGGTCGAAGATGACGATGTGACAACGTGTCAGCACGAGTCATGTAACATTCGATTCAATTTGTGGCGCCGAAGGCATCACTGTCGAAGGTGAGAATCCTACTTTGATTTTTAACACTGGTATTGATACAGTCAAACAAAGTTTTGTAACGATGGCATCCATTTCCAACAATAGGTGCGGAAATATATTTTGTAGCACACACAGCGATTATTCAATGTTATTGTTTCCTGATGGCACCGAAGATTGGGGCGGTGTATGGTCGAGGGTATGCGAAGGGTGCTTCAAAAATAACAAATGAATATGAAAGTCCAACAGAAGAGTTTAATATTCTTTCAGACTAAGGAACATTATTATTCATTTTCACATCATTCATTCATTCCCTTCTCTGTTTTCCGTCATTACTATTGTGGACGAACTTTGGATCCTCTTTTCTTTTTACTTTTTTTATTATTTTTTTTCAACTGTAAAAAAGGACTTTTTTTCTCTAAACACAACACCCTAATAATCAACCATCACCGTTCGTACTCACGTGAACATACATACTTTAAATATTAGTATTATATTATAACTGTGTATATTGTTTTTTTTTTTTTCCATGTAGAACTGTAATAGTGTGAGAAGTGATCTCTGTATACTTGGTAATTGTAATTGTAAATTGTTTATAATCTTATTTCTGATTTTGAATACTCAATGATTTAATAAGCACAATAAACTAAACATTGGCCGGATAGAATTCGGTCTTCAATGCCTTTGGTCGAACTGAAAAAAAAACAAAACATTTTAGCATCCTCCAAAACACATCACATGAGTTGACAAAGTTAATCGATCTAATTACATCGAACAAAGCAGAACTAGAAAATATCCATATGTATGAATAGCGACCAATCAAATGATATTTCTAACATTGATTGTGTCAAAGTAACTAGGATGAAATGATAAGAATAATTGTTTCATTGGATTTCTCTTTTACCTTGTAAAGAACACACACACATAGAAAAATTCATATCATCAACATCTTTTTGTTGAAATAATTAAAAGTAGAAAACAATATGGCTATACAAGTATTATTATTACATTGGTAGCACACCGCTTGCATAAACTCGAAATATTGTACCCTTTTCGTGGTACACCGGGGTAGATTTTCATTGTGACACTAGATGGAAAAAGGTTTGTGCAATTCTTATGTGCGGTGATCGGCATCTCTTTAAATCTTCAAATGGAAATATTTAGCAGTTATTGTAATTTTAGGAATTGACAACGAGTACGGAATCAAAGAAAGGATCTGTAGTGTGATTGCAATGTTTACAACACCGATGACATGAAATAAGGGTGAAGCACCCTGGGGGAAGTGATCGATAAAGGAATGTCTCACATGATAATCAAACCGTATCCCAACGAAATTCCTTGCCTCAATTAACATTTTCTTTCGCCGCCGGTGCCCCCCTATTGTCATTTATTTTTTGCGAGATTCGCAGGTAATTAATAATTTTTTTTTTTGAATGGTTGTCAGTTTTCCGCGAATCACAAAGGATTTACGTTCCCTTGCAAGTGATGATTTAACAAACAAAAAAAAAAACTTGTCTAAACTGTCGTCAACCTTATTTCACGAAAAAAAAAACAAAAAAAAAAATCATTACCCTTCCTCGAAAACCCTCAAAAATTTTTTGATGTAAGAATGGTGTCATTATTAAAACCTCTCATTATTATTCTACCTTGTCATTGTATGCAAGTCAGCGCGGAAGAAGCTTCTCACAATGTAGTCATAGTGCACACACATGCAGAAGCGTTACACAGTCAGCTGAGTCCTCGGAGAAGATAAATACAAGAAACCTCGGTAAAGCTGGTGCTTGAAATGTGACAACGTGTTTGGGCCTAAAGCTCGTCCCTGGATCCCCCAATTGACCCCTAATGATTATCTTATATTAGATACAGTATGTCAATGATGATAGGATATTTGAATCCATCAGCTCAGACGGGTGACCGGAACGCAGGTTACCATTATTCCGTCATCCTTGGACCCCTTTGATCCCTTTGGCGAGGTGAGATTACTCTAATTCAACCGGAAAAGATGTAAAGTAAACCACCATATAAGATTCCATTATCATGACGTTTTTCTATTTCTGGAAAGTATACGCATAGTCACTGAGCGCGCACAGTCGATAACGCGTGTTTGCATTCACATACGCGCTCACATCGGAAATTTTACATTCGCACATGCCGGGCATGACGAGGTGGCATGCGGAGGAGTCCGCCCGTACCTGCGTTCAGGCATAGTAATTGTAGTTCTTGCATCAAGCAAGCATGATGCATTAATTGACATAAAGTTGCGTGAAATGAAAATTTACACGGCATCAATAGTTTTCAACACCTGCGCAACAATACCCTTTCCAACCCCTTTCTGTTGTGCCCTTCGTGCACCAATACTGACAATAAATCTTTACGCTCTATTTTACGCTTCACACGCCTCGCGCTGAACATTAACCGTATTCGTATTTAGAATTAGATGAAAATGGTAGTCTGTATGTACGCACAATAATGTGTAGTGATCGCGTATTCGGTGTGCACACATTCATCATTCCTTCCTAAATGGTTGCGTGCTTCATGTGATGACGTTTACCATCGAGCAATGATTTGTTCTTGAGTTGATTGATCGATGTTTTTGTCAAATGCTACGGTTTAGAATTTTGCCTGCTTGCATCAATAGACCCTATTGATTACTATACGTCCGACCGACTCAATGCAGGTAGCATGTAACCGATTGACGTTACCTCCACCTGGAGCAAAAATGAATGAACCTAAAATTAATTAGTGAGTGAACATGCGGCAGTGAAATACTGAAACGTATGGACGTTTTGGTGATAGCCTGTATTGCTTCCGATACCTGTGAATTCTCTTTTTTTCTCACGAAATTCCAAAATGCATGTTCGTCTTTTCCATCCTTGGTTCACAAGATGTATGACATGCCCGAATGTCCATTCGCATCTTCAAAAGAATGAAAGACACATCCTCTGGATTCTCCGGTTTCTCCGAAATTTGATAAAGCGCCTACATATGAATCATTCATTACAATAATTTGATGCATAATGGTTGTGATGGTTAATCGAGAATCTCGATAATTAATCGTCATGTCCATACACTGTCAAAATGTTATGACACATTCGGAGTTGATTATGTATATACATTTCCAAAATAAGAAAACCATAGGCAAAAAAATTATACTGTATGTCGTATCATGATGATGCCAAAGATACGAGCGCAGCAACGAACCCTAACAGAAATTGACTGCATATAATAGCTGAGTAGCAACTATTGCTATTTCAAATAATGATTGTTGAAAATCATTGTTTTTTTCCATCTTTGTAACAATAATCTATTTCCGTATTTGGGTTAGGTTGATAAGCCATTGAAGTGTGCAAACAGGGTGAAGAGAAAGAGTGCATAAATGGTTAGGATAAAAAAAACGTTTGGTGGGCCAATGATTCAGTCACGTGGCGAAATACTAAACTTTCTCCGTCGTCCGGTCGTTCATTTGAGAGTACCTGATGGAAGGGTCATTATCACATCCATCACACTGATATTTCTATAGTTGCACGATCTCTCGTACCCTACGCACGCACGCAGGCGTAAAAGTATGTTAAATTGCTGTGTACTACCGGACAAGATGTTTTTACGAAAGATTTCCTGTACCACATGTTAAGATTCCTTAGAGAACGAACCGTAATTCTTACGGACGCCAACATACAGTTTTTTTTTTTTTTTTTTATCACTTGTAATTCAAGAATTAGAACTTGTTTTCGATGGGTGCACGCATTGTTTTTTTGGACCGAATTCTTCCGTCAATAGAAGGTAATAATAGGTGGATGCATGTTAAAGTGCTCCCGTACACTAATGTTGTGTAAAGAAGATAGGTAGCGATTCTAAGGTTGATAGTGTGTGTGAATGATAAGTACTCATCATTCGATTTAACTTAATATCATAAGTAGACGAACGGCATTCATGCAAGAAAACGGAAGTATCAATTATAATCTGAGTGTGTTTGCTCGCCGCCCAGCTGTGCATCCAGTAAATAGAAATAGATAGGTGCACGCACACACCCATAATTGTTGTAACGCCACAAGTCAGATTTGATCGATTTTTCCCACCAGAGTCACATGACCAAGTTGAACAATGATTGATAGAATGCAGACATCATTTCGTGGTCAATAGCACGCTTTCCTTCATCATTTGGGCGCAATGAATGTTTGCTATATTCATATGTTGATGTGTTATGTAAGTCCATTTAAAAAAAACACATTTTGTCAAACAAACAATCCTCTGGAAAATAACGATTTTTCAAAATGCGCGTGGTTCATTCGGGGAACCTTGTGAGCGAGCTGAAAGAATATGCGATCACCAAATGCGCTTGTTTGTATTATCGTAATGCTGTTTGATTCTTGCTACCGTTGACTTTTTTTTTACGTAACGATAACGCGGCTGACGCGGTTTGCCTCCCCATATATGGTAATACGTAGATGGGTGTAGCCTCTATCGGAATCAAATCTGACCGACCACGGGCATTACCGTGATTACGAATCACATGCACCTTACGGTTCATTGTGTCACGTGATAAGGTGTGAGAGAAAAAAAAAGAGAGGGAAACGCACGCGTGAATGTCCCGAGAAAGGGTGACCAACCAATCAGATGTGAGGTAAACACACGGTGGAAGACATGCGGGTTTTTCAGGGAACACGTTAAGAGTGATGAATGAATGACATACATACATACATATGTTATGAACGCCGGAACCGCCTCTGCACGACATGCCTTCTAAATGGGCAAACGCGCGTGACGATGCGTAAGTGAAAAAAAAACAACAAACGTTTCCTAATCATTCAACCGGGATCCCCATTTGTTCACTGATGCGCGATGATTGCGGCAACATTTTCCGGATTGTGGTGGTACCATGATTA